CAGGAAAGGGAGGCAGACCCCAAGACCATCTCATTGCAGAAGAAAAATGTGACTAACCAATGCAGTGGTTCTCAAAGTGTGGTCTCTGCAACATTAGTGCTGCCTGAGATTATTTGGGATGCAATTTTCACACCCTATCCTAATACTATCCGGAGTCAGAAACGCTGGGCCTGGGGTCAGCATCTGATTTAAGACTCCAGGTGTTTCTGATGCATGCTAAAGTGTGAAAACCACTGACCTAGTAAGTCCATTTAAGTGGCCACGAGAGACCCCAGTATATCACTCCAAAGGTCTCTCAGCCTCAAGATCACCAAGACTGAAGACATCCAAGAGATTCCTATAAGTTTTACTGTTCTTCCTCTTCCTAACATTCTGCTCCTTCAGAGTATTCCCAAGGGTCACACCCTTTTCCTTCTGGTGTTATTCTTTGGTAGTTTGCTTTTTCCATACGGGATTTCTCTGGAGATGCATTATTGGGACATTAGAGCAACTCTTAAGTTGCAGACACCAGGAAATGCAGTGAAAACCTGAGCTGAAATCCCAGGCTTCCTTCCATCTGAGTCAGAAGAGTGGGTCAGTCAGGGATGGGAACAGCTGTCACCTTGAGGAAATGCCAAGTGACCTCTAATACCTGCCACTATCTGTAGGAATGACCCAGATAATAAGAAAAGGCAGATCATGAGTGTGCTGGTGAAATCAGAAGAGAACATTCCAGTGCAACTGCCACCCTGGCCCTGCTCAAAAAGGGCCTTGAATGTGCAGTGGGGTCATTTCAAAATAGTCATCTGAGCCCACACCCTTTACCCCATTCCCTCCAAGTTCCTTCCTGAATAGACCAAAGAAATATAGAAATGGGGAAAATTTCTATCAGTATTGGAGAACAGTGGTCCTCCAGAAATTTGGAGGAATTTCTGGGAGAAATAGTGCATTTGGGACAAGCGTGAAGAGAGGGCTGCCTAACTGGTTATACCACATGTGTGAAGGTGAGACCTGTGAGGAAAGGTGGATATCCTTGGCCCCGCTACAGAAATGTGGTGGAACCTAGAGATGTAGTTAACAACATCAGCTCCGTTGCTAGGCCTTCCAATTTATTTCTGGTGAAGGCTGACTTTCCTGTCAATGACAGTTGGGACATTATGTAAGATCCTCTAGTAAACCTTCAATTGAAACCTTAGACCTGATGCTGATGTCTTTTTAAGGAAATGGAGGAGCTTGTCCATTTGTAATCCAAATAAGGCCCAAAGAAGCTGTGACTGGATTTCAGCACAGGTGCACAGCTGCTGCACAAGGAAAGAAGTCAGTCAGAAGCTCTCTCCATTTTTTTTTAAATGAAAGCCAGATATTATCTTCAGGGGCTCAGTCATCTTCCCCCTTCCCCACCTTGGACTCTGGTGGGTGAGTAATGGCAGTTCTGGGAACCAGCACCATTTGGATACCTGGACTATCACTTTTAAGAGGAGAAGAGCTAATATTTTAATATTCTTTGGGCATCACATTAGACACAGAATAAAGGACGCAAGAAATGTACTGGTTTTAGCCTCTTAATGTCCTAAAAGTTTTGTCATGGCAATTAAAAGAATCGGTCTGATTTACAGATTGGCAAGGGGGGACCCTCAAGTGTGGAAGACCTTAACGCAGACAGGGCTGTGACTGCCTAACCAACACCAGTCTCACTAAAAAAATTTTTGAAAATGAATTTATTATAGCAATAATGCAGTGATTACAAGCCATTCAGTATTTCCTAAACACTGTGATAACTCTTGAAGTCATTCCAACAGAGGACCCATGGAAGAATTCAAGCAGTATTAAAGGCTGCTTGTTATTTCCAGCCAGTACATCTCAAGAGACAATGGATCTTCATGGCCTTCACAAAAGGTATTCCAGACACTCAAACGCCAAGTCTACTCAAATAAGCTTCCCAGGCGGCTTTTCTGTACATCTCAGCTGCTTCCAGACGATTAGCAGATGTTATTATGCCCCGACCTACAATGATGATATCAGAACCTCGTTTGCCAATAACTTCTTGCGGGCTATTGTACTGTTGACCAAGATTATCCCCTGCAAAAACAGAAAAGTTACTGATTAACATAATATAAAACATCAGAAAACCTGTCACATAACTTTCCTGAAAAAGTATCTAACTAGCTTTACATAAAAATACGCTCTTGCTTTCCATTCCTTTCTTGCTTTACATAAAAATACGCTCTTGCTTTCCATGCCTTTCCATTAAGTGAGTTAAAGCAGGTGAAAACATCCCCTGAGTAGGCCAGAGACCTCCACAATGAAGACGAGCTAACCAATTCCTTTTCAATGTCTAATATAGAGCATTTACAGTTTAACAGTATCAGAAATCAAAGAAGTAATTCTCTTGTATTGCTAAGAAAGGTTCAATACCAAAGAGATAAGAATAAAAATTGGCCTTACAATTAAAGACAATTTTAGTACACATTTCAGAATCGCTGTGACACACTGTTTTATAACCTATGTTTTCTTCTAGGAGTTTTATGGTTTCAGGTCTTACATTCAACTCTTTATTCCATTTTGAGTTAATTTTTGTGTGTAAGATAGTGATCCAGTTTTTCTTTTGCATGTGGATATACTGTTTTCCCAACACCACTTTATTGAAGAAACTGTCCGTTCCCCATTGTATATTCTAGGCTCCTTTGCTGTAAATTAATTGACCATATATGTATGGGTTTACTTCTGAGGTCTATTCTGTTCCATTCATCTATATGTCTGTTTTTAATATGCCAATGCCATACTGTTTTGATTACTACAGCTCTGCAATACAGTTTGAAATCAGGAAGTGTGATGCCTCCAGCTGTGTTTTCTTTCTCAAGATTAGTCTGGCTATTCAGGATCTTTTGCGGTTTTATACAAATTTTGAAACTTCTATTTTTAGGAAAAATGCCATTGGAATTTTGATAGGGATGGTACTGATTCCGTAGATTGCTTTGGGCAGTATGGGCGTTTTAATAATAGTCTTCAAATCCATGAGCACAGAACATCTTTCTATAGATTTGTGTCTTCCTCAATTTCTTTCAACAGTGTCTTGTAGTTTTCAGTGGACAGGTCTTTTACTTCCTTGATTAAATTTATTCCTAAGGTTTTCATTTTTGATGCAACTGTAAATGAGACTGTTTTTCTTAATTTCCCTTTTGGATAGTTGAATAGTGTGGAGAAATGCAACAGACTTTTGTATATTACAATTTTTACTGAATTAGCTTATTAACGTCAACAGTTTTTTTGGTGGAGTCTTTAAGACTTCTTGTATGTCATCTGCAAACAAGTGACAATTTTACTTCTTCATTTACAATTTGGAAGCCTTTTATTTCTTGACTAGTTGCCCTGGCTAGGACTTCCAATACTATCCTGAATAAAAGTGGTGAGAGGGGACATCCTTGTCTTGTTTCTGATCTTAGAGAAAAGCTTTCCGCTTTTCACCACTAAGTATAATGTTAGCTGTGGGACAGTCATTTACAGGCTTTATTATATTGAGGTATGTTCCCTCTACCCACTTCGTTGAGTCTTCATCATGAATGGATGTGAATTTTGTCCAATGTTTTTTTCTGCATCTATTGAGATGATCATATGATTTTTATCCTTCATTTTGTTAAAGTGGTGTTAACGTGTTTGATTTGTGGATGTTCCTCCATCCTTCCACCCCTAGAATAAATCTCATTAAATCATCATAGTGTATGATCCTTTTAATGTATTTTTGAATTCAGTTTGCTAATACTTTGTTGAGGATTTTTGCCTTGATGTTCGTCAGGATATTGAACTGTAATTTTCCTTCCCTGTGACGTCTTTGTCTGGTGTTGGTATCGGTAATGCTGGCCTTGTAAAATGAGTTTGTAGGCATTTCCTGTTCTATTTTGTGGAAGAGTTTGAGAAGGACTAGTATTACTCTTTCTCTGAATGTTTGTAAAAATTCACCACTGAAGCTGTCTGGTCCTGGATTTTTGTTAGGAGGTTTTTGATTACTGATTCAATCTCTACTAGTAAGTAATGTGTGTTCACAACTTCAACTGCTTTATGATTCAGTCTTGGGTGCTTGTATGTTTCTAGGAAGTTATCCATTTCTTCTAGGTTGTCAAATTTGTTGACATGTAATTGATAGTAGTTTCTTATGATCCTATTTCTGTGGTATCAGTTGGAACATCCCTTTCATTTCTGATTTTATTTGAATCCTTTTTTTATTGGTGAGTCTAGCTAAAGGTTTATCAATCTTTGTTTCTTTTCAAAAACCGGGTCTTAGTTTCATTGATCTTTTTAGTCTCATTTATTTCTGCTCTGATCTTTATTTCCTTCCATTATTATTGGACTTTGTTCTTTTTCTAGTTCCTTGAGGCAGAACTTTATCATTCTGAACTTTACTCTTAGAATTGTTTTTGCTGCATCCTGTAAATTTGGTATGTTGTATTTCTATTTTTTTCCCAAGAATTTCCTCTTTTGATTTCTTCTCTGACCCATAGGTTGTTCAGTAGCATGTTGTTTAATCTCCACATATTTGTGAATTTTCCAGTTTTCTTCTTATGATTTCTAGTTTCCTACCATTGCGGTCAGAGAAGATACCTGATATGATCTTGATCCTCTTTAATATATTAAGACTTGTTTTGTGGCCTAACATATGATCTGTCCTGGAGACTGTTTCATGTGCATTTAAGAATGTGTATACTACTGCTTTTGGATGAAATGTTTTATATATATCTATTAAATCCATCTGTTCTAACATGTCGGTTAAGTAAAGCCAATGTTTCCTTATTGATTTTCTGTCTAAGTAATCTGTTGTGATGTAAGTGAAGTATTACGGCTTCTATTATTATTATATTTCTATTTCTCCCTTTAGGTCTGTTAATATTTGCTTTATATATGTAGGTCCTATGTAGGATGCATATTTATCAATGTTATAGCTTCTTCTTGGATTGACACCTTTATCATTGTGTAATGCTCTTCTCTGTCTCTTATTACAGTCTTTGTTTTAAAGTCTTTGTCTGAAATAAGTATAGATACCCTAGGTTTCTTTTGGTTTCCTTTGCATATAATATCTTTTTTCATCCCTTCACCTCAGTAGGTGTCTTTACATCTGAAGTGAGTTTCTTGTAAGGAGCATATATATGGGCCTTTTTTTTTTTTTAATCCATTCAGCCACTTTATGTCTTTTGACTGGAAGATGTATTCCATTTACATTTAATTAATTTTTGTTAGGGATGTACTTATTGCCATTTTGTTAATTGATTTCTGGCCGTTCTGGCTGTTTTGTTAATTGATTTCTGGCTGTTCTGTGGTTCCTCTCTGTTCTTTCTTCTTTGTGGTTTGATGATCTTCTTTAGTTGTATGCTTAGATTCTTTTATCTTTAGTGTACCCACTATAGGATTCATAGGATTTTGATTTGTGGTTACCATAAGACTTACATGTTAACAATTTATATCTGTAACAGTCTATTTTAAGTTGATAACAACTTGTTTGTTTGTATTCTAAAGCTCTACATTCTTATTCCCCCCAGGTTTTTTTGGTCACATTTTACAGCTTTTCTATATCCCTTAACTTACCGTAAATCATTTTTACTACTTTTGTCTTTTAACTTTCAAACTAGCTTTATAAGTGATTAATCCACTAGTTTTACTATATATTTACCTTTCCAGTGCCCTTTCTCTTCAGCTTAAAGAAGTCCCTTTAACACTTCCTGTTAGGCAACTTTAGTGATAATGAACTCTAGCTTTTGCTGATCTGGAAAACTCTCTCTGTAAATTCTGAATGATTTTGATGGGTAGAGTTCTTTGTTGGAAGTTTTTTTTTCTTTCAGCACTTTGAATGTGTCATGCTGCTATCTTCTGGCCTGAAAAGTTTCTGCTTAAAAATCTGATCAGTCTTATTGGAATCCCCTTGTATATAACAAGTTGTTCTTCTCTTGCTTTTAAGATTCTGTGTCTTTAACCTTTGACACTCTAATTACAATGTGCCTCGGTGTGGCCTCTCTGCAATTCCTGTGTGTGCGTGTCCATTTCCTTTCCCAGGTCAGACACACTTTCCAGCATTATTTCTTCAAGTAATTTTTCTGTCCCTTTCTTGTTCCTTTCTTCTTGTGGTACACCTACAATGTGAATGTCAATGTGCTTGATGTCCCTATAAGTCCTTTAAGCTATCTCCACTTTTTTTCATTCTTTTTCTTTTTGCTGCTCTGATGGGTGAGTTCACTGCCTTGTCTTTGAATTCACTGATACTTTGTTCTGTTTTCTTCTGGATCTTTTTTCATCTAGTCAGCTGTCGAACCCCGCTTATGGATTTCTCAGTTCAGTACTGTAGTCCTCTGCTCTGTGACTTCTATTTTATACTTTCTTATGTTTTCTACCTTGAAGCTCTCACAGTTATCATCCATTCTTCTGAGTTTGGTGAACATCTTTATAACCATTACTGTGAACACTACCAGGTAAATTATTTATCTCCATTTCATTAAAGGTTTTTTTCCAAGTTTTATCTTGTTCTTTCGCTTGGAATATAGACCCCTGTGTTTTCATTTTGGTTGACTATGTTGGTTTTAATGCATTAAATGAAACAACCACCTCTCCCAGTCTTGAAGGAGTGGCCTTGTATAGCAGATGAACCTGTGTTCAACCCTACCCTAGCTCTTGTCTCTCAAACCTTTGACTGTCCAAGCAGTCTATTACAGTTTTAATAGCTCCCAGTAGTTGAGGGTGTGCTAATACCTGTCAGTGATCCAAAAAGATCTAGTCAGCACCTAGATTCAGAATAATTGGAAGCCATATCCTTAGGCAGCAGCTTTTAAAGAATGCAAATATATACAATCCTATGGGACCACAAGCGTAAACCCTGATGGCCACCAGAGCCAGGTTATCTGAAGGTATCACCTGAGCAGCAATCACAAAAATCTGGGCTCCAGGCTGCACCAGCAAACTGTAGCGTGGCAGAGGGAGAGCACAAAGATGGTGTCCACCAACTTATGCTCCCTGAGAACAGCTCTGTAGGCCCCATGTGTGTGCCACACCTAAAGCCTGCCCTTCAGGCTGAAACTCTAGGACAAGTAAATAGGCCTCTTACAAAAAGACTGGGGGAATGTTTCAGTATGCTGTCTGCACAGTGTCCTGGGGAAGGTAGCCTGCTAAGAATTGTCTCTCCAATTGTTACAGTCCTGTGGGACCCAGGAACACAAGTCTCCCACTCCCAACCAACCCCCTACCCCCGGCCATTTTAGTGTCCCCTGGGCAGTAGCTGCAAAAACTACAGCACCAGACACATGTAAGAGCTCCCCTCTGGGAGATACTAGAGCTCTGGAATACAGTAGAGGGAGAGCAGAGAGATAACATCTGTCCTCTGAACAGTCTCTGGAAAGGATTAAAGTCAGCCCTTAGATGTGTGTTTAATTAGAAGCCTGCCCCGCAGTCTGCAGCTATATGATGATTAACAAAGACACCTGTCTTTCACAGGAAGACTGGGCTCCTAAGTCTGTTGCTTTTTGCTATCTCTTAGGGGTAATAGCTGTTTAAGAACATTTTCTCTGTTGGTTACGGTCCAGTGGGACCTGTAAGCTCTGCAGACCACTAGAACAAAGCCATGTAGAGGTGTCCATCAGCAGCAGCTGCAAAAATCAAGGCGCCAAAGGTATAAGCTCCTTGCAGGGAGATACAGGTGATCTGGAGTGAGGCAGAACGCAAAGATTGTGTCCACTAGCCATTATTCCCTGAGAGTACTTCTGTAGGCTACTAGATGTGTGTCAAATCAGAAACCTGCTCCTCAGGCCAAAGCTCCTGGACAAGCAAACAGGCCTCTTTCACAGAAAGACTGAAGGCTGTTTCAGTATGCTGTCGGTGCAGTGCCCTGGGGGTGGTCGCCTACTAAGAATCGCCTCTGCAATTGTTACAGTCCCATTGGGATTCCAGGAACACAAGTTCCCCTAGCCTCTAGAGGCAAATGATCAAGGGATGTCCCCTGGGCAACAGCTGCAAGAATCAGGGCACGAGGCACGTGTAAAAACTCCCAAGAGATACTGATGCTCTGGAGTGCAGCAGCAAGAGAGTGCAAAAACGGCGCCCAGTGGGAAACAAAAAGCAAAAGAGATGGGTCTCACTGGCTAGAGCAAGGCAGAGGAAGAGCACAAAGACAGTGCTCACTAGCCTCTGTCCCTGGAGAGTGTTACAGCAAGCTCCTGGATATGTGTTAAGTTAGATGCCTTCCCGTCAGGCCAACACTAATACTATCAAATGAGCTTTCTACTTAATGTGGGTACCAGCGGGTGGGTCTGAGCGTACAAGCTCTTCAAGGGCTGTTTTCAGCTCACTACATACAGTCTTGTGGACACAAGCCCCATTAGTGTTCAAAGCTGGATATTTTGGGGACTCATCTCTCAGGTGTAAGTCTTAAAAGTTGGAGTGTCTGATGTGCAGTTCAAACCCTTCACTCCTCAGGGAGAAGCTCTGGGTTTTGAGTTCCCTCCTAACTGTGGGTTACCATGCCAAGGATGGGGTTTATATTAAGACTCTGCTCCAGCCTCTCCTACCCACTTTGATGCAGTTTTCTTATTTACCTGATATGTAGTCCTCCCTTAGCTAGCTTATTTTTTTCCCTCAAAGGAAACTGTTCCATATGTAGTTGTAGACTTGGTGTGTCCATGGAAGAGGTAAGTTCAGGACTTCCTACATTGCCACCTGGAACCAAAACCCTGCTTTTTCCTTTTTTAAATTCTATTGTTCCAGAAGCCTCCTGTTAAATGGCTATTTTTCAAATCCAAGATGCTTTAAATATCCCCAAAAGCCTAGATCCTAATTGTACTATCTAATCAAATAATTGTGGGGGCTTACAATGCACATTAACAGTTGACAAGCATAGTGTGCTTACTCTGTGTCAAAACATTGTATTAAGTGCTTTAAGTACATTATCTCATTTAAGCCTTTCAACAACCCTAAGAGGTCAACACTATTATCATCATTTTATCAAGAAAATGAGATGGAAAGAAGTGATCTGTCCAAAGATACATGGTTACTAAACAGAAGGGCCAGAAATCCAAATCTGACTCAAAATGTTTACAGCTCAAGAGGTGGATGGAACTTACACAAGAATGACTAGTATAAAATCTACTTTTAATATTTTTAAAGGTAACTTTTGAAATTTTCAATGTAAACAGAACATCAGAATGTCAACCTGACAGATTCTTCTGAAGGGTGATAAGCACGGTTGTTTTCATTTTAGATAGTTTTGCTGAGAACCCTACTGTTCAGAGTTTTAATCTCCGACTTCTTAAGCCTAATCCATAAAGAAGGAAAGAGATGGAGAGTGCGACAGAATCAACTCCCATACCTATGATGAGCAACCTTTCTTGCACAATAGCCAATTCTGGAAGAATAAAAATTTTCCAGGTCATCATTTCTTCCCCATTCAAAAACAAAGCTTTACTGAGTCCCACGGGACATTTAAATACATCTATTTTTATAACCTAGATTATTCCTCTACTGATTAGAGACTATCAATGAGAAAATTTGCAGCGTTTTAGCCACTACAACTCTACTTCTCAGACTGCTGAGTTACATGTTCAAATCAGCTTGAGAGACAAGACAACTGGAGAGTCACAATAGATAGCTCATCAAAGGCTCTGCAAAGTCCTCTAACAAAGAAACAAATGTTTAATTTTGTTTAGCCCAGCACATTCTTCTTTGAGCATAGAACATCATCTTTTTTTGGCAGCATATTCAGAACATCAGTTGGGAAATAATTAAAATATCTGGGCACATTTCAGTGAAAAGTAGCTTTCTAAATTTTCATCCTAAAATTAGACTGCAAGCTATTTTGCATATCTAGGTCAGTATCACCAGGCAAAAGGGCTCATTCATTACTGTTCTAGACAAACAAACTTTCTCTTTAGCAACTTTATAATAACACACAAAACGTCATTTTGCCTCTGCTGACTTAGGTAAAGAGGCAGTTTGGAAGACCAACAAATAGATTTACCTCCTGCTTCCAACTGAACTCCTGGAGTCAAGTGAAGAAATTCTGGTTTCATGCTTACTCGGGAGCCAGAAATAAAACCAATCACAAATTCAGAATGCTCCTCAGCCATTCTAACCTAAATAGAATGCAACAGGACAGACCAGAAGAAAGCGGTTAATCATACAGAATAATAGTTCTACAAATAAAAAATTGGCTCTATTAACTAGTAATAAACTTTGCTATTTTACAGATGTCTTTTCTCATTTCATATTAAACTCATATGTAAAACAGGTAATCTTATAGATCTACGTACTTGCTCCATTACCCCATGTCTCCCCTTCTCCCAATTAACTATACCCTAAACATTAAAAATCTTATGTTTCTAAAATTTAGATGCTGCATAATTATTTATTTGTAATAAAATTTAGATGCTGCATAATTATTTATTTGTAATAACCCACCTACTTCCAAAAAGAATATGAGGGGAGCCCTCTAGAATACATTTCTAATGGTATGGAACCATATTAAGGACTTACTGCCTACCTACACAGGGTATTCCATATCCAACGACAGCCATCATATAAAAAACAGATGTTGTCAAGAGCTAAAGGAATCTCATTTCTACCGCTTTCCCTCTTCTCTGACATTTGCTAACAACTGGTCTCCAGTTTCTATACCATTACCTCACATTCATAGACATTTCTCTAAAAGGTCTGACTTTCTAATTTGGCTCTTCCCTGAGGCTCATACTGTTCTATGGCACCAGTACGATTATCTACCAGTGATGTCCTGTCCTTGAGCCAGACCCAGACTTCCTGAATGCCAAATATTAGCACTGACTCATAGACCCCCTGCTATGAGAGCTGGGAAATCAGACATTTATGGACAGTTCAGGGGTGGGTTAAAACCTGGCCCTAGGGCCATGTGAGTTCTTCACAGTTCCAAAGACAGTCTTTGAAATCACATGAAAAAATAAATTCCTATGTAAGAATTAAAATGTTATTAAAATAATTCCTATTACTTCTAAAAAGTAATAGTCTTTATAATACCTGTAAAGGTGATCTATCTCTAGGTGACTATCCCTAGGAAACTTAACCAGAGGAAAATGTGAAGAACTTTTTAACTAGATAATCATCCACTGCTCGTTTTATTCTGATATATATGGGTGGGGGTTGAGTATTAATGTGTGTGGTATAATAAGAGTTTTTAATAATGGGGGGAGTTACTGGTGGAAACCATGTGTCTGGACTCTAAGAGCTTTCCCAAATAATATCAATCAATATCAAAGATTAAAAAAGGTAAAGCCATTTAATGTGGGCCACTGTCATGAGAATGCATCCCTATGAGACTTGGGAGAGTCTGAGAAACTGCACGTCTGGGTAGAATCTTTCAATTTCAACTCACGATGAGATGAAAAAAAAAATCAACTCTCTTAAAGGTCAGGCAAGCATACAGGCAGATGTTTATTTGACCAAGAGTCTGTGTTTCAGTGTTTCTCTCTTGGGAGTACAATTCAAATCTCTTAAGTGTCCCCTGAAAGATATCAGAGAACACTAGCCAACTAGTATTAATATATTGTCACACTGACAACAGCTGATTTTTTCTTTTAGCAGGTTTCAAGGCCCCAAATTAAGATATTTTCTTCTCTTGTAACAGCCTGGCCTTCTCTCACCCTGTCCCTCTGTCCCTCTGTCACTTACCGCTGCTTTAGTATAGTTCCCAGTGGCCAGGGAGCCAGTGGAACTCATCTCTGCAATGAGCAGGCACCCCCGCTGCAAAGGCAGGCCTACTTCTTGCAGGCCTTTCACAACTCCTGAGCCCGGCACTACATGAGCATTTACTAGATCTGCCCAGGAAGCTATTTTAAAGATGCCACCTAAGAAGAAGGGGGATAAAAGATGTTTGTCAAACTTCAAACAAAAACCTTTAACTTTTTGCCTAACCAACAAACTACAATATGAAATAATCTAGTAACATGTTAATAAAATAGTGAAACACTTCAAGAATTTTAGTGATTATCAGTGGACCTATGGTTCCAACTGTGAAAATTTTCTGTCCACCTTGTAGCTAGTTTAGAGATCACAATTGGAAAAAAAAAGAAAAAAAAAAAAAAAAAAAACCAACTTGCAAGTTCTGTACTTAGTTTACCAGTAACACTAAGACTTTTTCCTTGCAGGCTGAAGCTTGGGACCACTAATAAAATGTATGCAATTAGAAATGGACTCCACTGAAGATAGGTGTTTATAGAGGTCAAAGATATCGACGTTCTAAAATTCCTCTGAAGATGACAAATTTTCATTCTGTAGGGATCTCTCAGCAACTTTATCATCTCTCAAATCTTCTACTTATTATTAGGTTTCTTTAGCTCTTCAAATTTGAATAGGCAATTGTATTCATTTTAAAAGATGACAGCAATAACCCTGATTTTTTAAAAACTTACATGCAAACCTGTAGAAAGTTTATCTTTTAGCCAACAAACTAAACTAAGCAATGTGATGAGAGTAGAACACCTTAAGCACATGAAAAAAGTCACAGACAAATCTATCCTAAAGAACTAGCTTAAGAATATGCATGCATTACTTAAAAAATTAAGTTTTCTCAAAAGATGCCTAGAAGTCTTAATAATATGATAAAATATAAGACTAAGTGAAAAAACTCATTAAATAGGTACAATGTGACAGAAATTTACATAGAAAAATGGGTAGAGCATTAACCAATTTTTTCAACATATGCGCTACTTTGAGTTCCTATTTAACAACAAAAAAATTAAGTTGTATATTAAATTCTTTTCCACTAAAAATAAATCTTACTTTATACTTTTTCATTATTTCCCATATCTGCAATTTTTATTCAAATATCAGAACTCGCTGTGTGCTGCCAACATCTGTCATTTTTGCCTGCCTAGAACCTATGTCCCCTTCTCTGGCATGAGCACCCTTGGTTTCTTTAAAGGGAACTACCCGTGACCAGATCTTGGTTCAAGAAGTTTACACAGCGTTAACAACTTCACATCGCCAGGTGCGGGGCATATTACCCAGGGGCGCTAATAAAGGTTTTAGCTATTCTATACCTAAATAAAGATATTCTATACCCCAGTGACTGGTTTGGCGTAGGCATGAAGAGTGTGCCTACCTGAGAAAGAAGTCAAGAAAGAAGAAAGCAGAGATGAGAGATGAAGAGAAAGCCAGTCCAGAAGACATCGATCCAACCACGCTTGACAGCCTGTTCTATGGCTGGATTTTCAGAGATGTGAGCCAATACATTTCCTTTTTTTTCCTTCAGCCAGTTTAAACTGGATTTCTCATTCTTGCAGATTCCTGAATGATACTTACCTTCATACTGCTTTTTTACTGTGTTTCCTATATCTGCAAATTTCCGGTCTTCAAATATTAAGAACTCATGGCGTTTTGCCAGAGTTGTTAATTCCTTTATCACATCCAGAGTAAAATCATTCAAAATATCCACATGAGTCTTGAGCATGCAGATGCTGGGTCCTAAAGAATCTGCTAGCTGCAACAACTCTCTGGACTCTGAGATATCAGCAGACAGACACAGATTGGTCTCCTTCTTTTGCATAAGCCTGAGAAGCTTCGCTGCAACTGGGTGAATCCTGGGCAGGTCTGCACGAGCGTCAAAGCTGAGTTCTTTGGGTGCTTTCTTTACAGAAGGGAGAGAACCATTATGATCAGCAGCTACGAAAACGTTCTCCTGAATAAATCTCTTCACTCTCTCAACCATCTCGCCATCAATTTTTTTCTGTTGCTCAAGAATCTCCAGGATTTTGGACAATGTACACACTGAGTGGAGACGAATCCCATGTGCCTGCAAATTGTCCTTGCCCCCTTGCTCTCTGTCCAGCAGCACTATGGCATCAGTGACCTTTAAGCCCTCCTTCTGAAGAACCTCAACAGTTTCCAAAACACTAGATCCAGTAGTAACGACATCTTCAATGACCAAACAGGTTTCTCCTGGATTAACAGCCCCTTCTACAAGACGCTTAGTACCTGGAAAAGAAAAAATGATATTGATTCCAATTTGAAATTATATATTTCAGTCAACTCAAGATTTATCTTGCAATATAAATTTGGCATGTATTTATGAAGAGATGATGATCTAAATCTTATTTTCTGATAATCTCCTTTGGAACTACTTTATTTCTGATGAATCTTCAATGTGCCATGATTACCGGTTTGTTCAATGTCTGTATCTCCAAATTGTCAAAATTACATATACAGAATATTTATAGTAAAACTAGCAAATTATTTTGCTGTGTAAATAAACACCATTTTACATGTTTATGATCAAAATTTCAAATATGAGGTTTCTTAAAGCAAGATCTAGATCAAGGAAAGTGATAAAACACAGAATACCCAATATCCTAATGAATGTTCTTTTTTCTATTAATAAACCAGTTCATACTCAAGATCAGCCAAAAAATTGGCCTTTGCAGATATAAATTCAGGAGGGAAATACTCAGCAACCATTTAGACCAATCACTACAACTTTATGAACTATATAATGCAAGGCACCCCCACTATAGACTATTTTCAGATAATCTGTAGAATATAAATAATTCAGGCGGAAGACTACATAGATTTATTTTATTAGAGACTCATTTTCATATTTTTCACTACCAAATTTGTTTTATTTTGAAAGAGAAATAAAATTGGTGGCATTTTGCCCACTTTTTGAGCTTTATCACAGGTACTGCCTTTGCCTTTTCCCATTTCTTTTCTCTTAACTCCTTTCTTCCCTTTGAAGAATTGGCAAGTTTAACTGAATTAGCTTAAACAAGAACACAAGACTGTGAGTACTTACAGATATATTTTAAAAATAATGATATTCTAAGATATTTTTGAAGACATATAATAAGGAAATAGAAATAATAGTTTCCTTAGGGGCAAAAATTCATATAGTTAAACACTGCCTTCAAACAGCAACAGTATTTTTACTATTTTTTATAATGGATAATTTCAAACAAATAAAACTAGATAAAATATAAAAAACAAACACGGCACCTCACCACTCAACAACTAATGGTCAATAACTCTTGTTTCAGCTGTATCTCCACTCCCTCACTCCCCCTATAATTTTTAGAAGCAAAGCCTAGAAATCATGTTTCATCATGAAAATTTCTAGAATGCACCTATAAAAGGACTCTTTAAAAAAAAAAACTATACCAGAAATACTATGACTTCAACATAAAACAAACAAAAAACCCCATTACCTCCTTAATATCAAATATGAAGTCAATTCCAATATTTTTTAGGTTGATTTGGTTTTAAAGCAAGCCCACATGTTTAAAACACCCACCTGATGACCTATTGCCACGGACCCATGAAAAAAATATATTCATTAAGAATTTCAAACTATGGGCAGTGAACACACAATGCAATATATATATATATGCCTTACTGTTGAATTGTACACCTGAAACTTACTGGATTTCGTTAACCAATGTAACTATAATGAAAAAAAAGTTCTTTTATGCCACCAAAAAAAATATTTTCATATGGCATTTATATTGTTTTATAAGAGTAATTTTATTCATGCATTTCTCTTCATGTGATTTAAATATAAATATATTGGGAAAGTTATGTGTTCTTAGAATATTCTGCTGATGCAGGAAGGGCCGGTAAAAATGTTGGGTCTCAGATATGGTGCAAAAAAAGCTCTTTTTTTCACTGTCTAATAAAAACAGTATTTCACCCCAGACACTAAAGGAAAGGAAGGTGATTTATAGCAATAGTTAACAAATTCTATAAGCCATAACAACTTAAAAGACCTATGAGGAACATTCAAGGTGACTCTGGTAAAACATCAGCACCTAGGAAAAAAAATTTTAGCAGTATCAAATTACATATCGACTTAATCTTTATACTACTTTTATTTTTACCATAATCCTTTCTTTCTTTTCTTCTAATAAGCATTGGAATTTGGTTGGTTGAACAGATAACTGTAGCCAATGGTAAAGCTGTGTAAGGTACTCCACACACAGTGTCAAAATTGATAACTGCATTTTGGGCAGTTTGGAATAAAATTTCTGCAACCTGTAAAAAAAAAAACACACAAACTATTATAAATAGTGTATAAATAATGTAACATAACATTACTAACCAGTGTATAAATAATGTAACATAACAATACTATAACCCAGTAGGAAATAGTCTCAAACCTGATCAGAAAAATAACAAATTCCTTTGTTTAATTACCCTCTGCATAAATTCCAATTTACAAATATAAAAACACAACAATGAACCTATTTGTCTAGACTCAGGGTCTGCTATGACGTTGATCCCAAAGACTATAGACGGCCCTGAGGCGTCCCAGTTTTCCTCAGTTCATCCATTATGTTTTCAGTATTTAAGCCTATCACCTAGTTATACTTCCTGCCTGAAAGAAGTCTTCAGTTAAGTTTCACAAGAGAAATTAAGAAAACAATCCCATTTCCAACTGCATTGAAAGAATAAAATATCTAGGAACAAATTTAACGAAGGAGGTCAAAGACCTGCACACTGAAAACTATAGAAGACGAAGAAAGGAACTGAAGACATAAAGAAATGTAAAGATGTACCATACTAATGATTTGGAAGAATTAATATTGTTAAAATGTCCATACTACCAAAGCAATCTACAGAGTCAATGCTATTCCTGTCAAAATTCCAGTGGCGAGGGTGGCGAAGTAAGTAAACCCTGAACTCACCTCCTTCCCATGAACACATCAAAATTACCACAGAATAATAGAACAATCATCACTGAGAACAACCTGAAGACTAGCTGAATAGAATTCCTAAAACTAAAGATATAAAGAAGCCACATAGAGATAGGTAGGAGAGACAGAGATGCAGATCTGGCCAGTGCCACATGCATGGTATAGCGATTAATACACAGGAAGGACAGCTAGGCTCTAGAGGTTCCCCCTGAGGAATGAGGGGTCAGAGCCCCACGCCTGGCTCCCTGTTCTGGGAAGAAGAGTCTCAATAATTAATGGCTTTGAAAACCAGCGGGGACAACATCCCAAAGATATAAAGGGCTACAGGAGACTGAGACACTGTTCATAAAGGGCTCAAGTACAAGCAAACTTGTTCCAAGCCCCAGCATAGAGGTAGCAGCTTGAGAAGGGCCTGGGTCATATGGAGGATGAATTACACTGACCAACTTTAGGGCAAGTGCTGGAGGAGCAGGGATCAGGAGAATACTCTTAGGAGATGGAAATACTGGCAGACACCATTGTTTCTTTGTTGAGCTCTCCTCTCATCCAGCCAACTTGGCATGGGCAGGTGCAAAATCTTCTGCTCTCCATTAATTTGGTCAACACTGATCCTCCTGCCCTGGTCTTTCCCTGAGACCCCACCTCACTCACCCAGTTGGAGCCTCTTTCAGAGCAGCCTGACTAGGCTTATGTTGTAGACTCTCCCAAAGGTCCACAAACCCCACATGTGTGGCAGCCGGCCTGAGCTTGCATTGTAACTCCCACCAAATGGTCTCAAGCCTGGTACAAGTGGCAGTCAGCCTTGACTCACACCTTTGCCTCTCTCAAGTGCCTCAAAGCCCAGCACAAGCAGCTGCTGAACTATGACCACACCAGAGCCCATCCTCAGAGGTTCCAGACCACACCAGAGCCCCACCCAAGAAGCTTCACAAACACACAGATGTGTATGCAGCCTTGTCTGGCATAAGAGCCTCACTAAAGTGATTCCTACTCCCTGGGCTCAGCCCCCACAAAACAGTTTGTCCCCTGTAGTCAAGGCTGGCCTTCACAGCCAGTCAGCTTGAGGGTCAACCCATCCACTGATATGCCGGCAACAATCAAGGCTCAACTACAACAGGAGGGTACACACAACCCACACAGAAAGCACTCCTGGAGCACCTGGCTCAGGTGACCAGAAGGACTGTGCCACTATCCTCACCAGACTCCTTCTACATAAGGCCAGGAAACACAGCAAATCAACCTAATATATATACAAACAAACAGAGAGTTAGCCAAAATGAGACAAAAAAACATGTCTCAAATGAAAAATAAAAACTCCACTTAAAAAACTAAAGAAAATGAAGATAAGCAATCTACCAGATAAAAAGCTCAAAGCATTAGTAATAAAGATGTTCAATGAACTCAGGAGAAGAATAGATTAATTTGGTGAGAACTCCAACAAAGAGATATAAAATACAAAAAAGAACCAATCAAAAATGAAGAATACAATAATTGAAATGAAAAAAATATACTAGAGAGAATCAAGCAGATTAAATGAAGCAAAAGACCACATCAACGATCTGGAAGACAAGGTAGTGGAAAATACCCAATCGAAACAGCAAAAAGAAAAGAAAAAAATTAAAATAGTTTACAGGATTTACAATATCAAGCATACCAACATTTGTATCACAAGAGTTCAAGAAGGAGAAGAGATAGAAAAGGACAAAAAATCTATTTGAAGAAATAATAACTGAAAACTTTCCTAACCTGGCAAAGGATATAGACATAGAAATCCAAAAAGCAGAGTCCCAAACAGGATGAACCCAAAGAGGCCCACATCAAGACACATCACAATTAAAATGCCAAAGGTTAAAGACAAAGAATCTTAAAAGTAGCAAGAAAAAAGCAGCTAATTATGTACAAAGGAGCTCACACAGACTATCATTTCAATTTTTCATCAGAAACTTTGCAGGCCTGAAGGAAATAAGCATGAGATAGTCAAAGTGCTGAAATGAACAACCTACAACCAAGAATACTGTAACCATCAAGGTTATTATTTAGAACTGAAGCTAAAAAAATCTAAAAAAGTCCATCGCCACTAAACCAGCATTACAAGAAAAGTTAAAAGGATGTAAGTAGAAAGAAGTGGTCAAAACTAAATGAAGGAATATTACAAAGGTCAAAAGATGAAAGTAATAGATCATGTGTAAATACAACAATTAAGGTATACACACACACAGGAGGAAAACAATGGTATGACACTAGAAATAATTATAAGAAAACTGAAAAACACACAAACACATGGAGGCTAAATAACATGCTACTAAACAATAAATGGGTTAACAATGTGATCAAGGAAGAAATCGAAAGATACCTTGAGACAAATGAAAAGTCAATGACCAAAAGTCTATGGGACACAGCCAAAGCAGTTATAAGAGTGAAATTTATAGCAATACAGGCCTAAGTCAAGAAACAAGAAAAATCTCCATCTAATCTCACACCTAAAGGAACTAGAAAAAGAAGAAGTCCAAAGTGAATAGAAGGAAATAATAAAGATCAGTGTGGAAATAAATAGAGTCTAAAAAGCAATAGAAAAGATCAATGAAACGAAGAGCTGGTTCTTTGACAAGATAAACAAAATTGATAAACTTTTAGCCTGACTTATCAAGAAAAAAAGAGAGAGGGCCCAAATAAATAAAATCAGAAACAAAAGAGAAGTGTCAACCGACACCTCAGAAACAGAAAGAGTTAAAAGGAAATACTACATACTGGACAATCTGGAAGATATGGATAAATTCCCAGAAACATACAATCTTCCAAGGCTGAATCAGGAAGAAACAGAAAATCTTAACAGACTGATAACTACTAATGAAATTGAGTCAGTAATTTAAAAAAAACTCCCAACAAAAGCCCTGGGCCAGAAGGCTTCACAGGTGAATTTTACCAAACATTCAAAGAAGAATTAATACCTATTCTCAAATCATTTCAAAAAATTGAAGAGGAGGGTAGGCTCCCAAACTTTTTTTGAGGAGGCTAGAATTACCCAGATATCAAAATCAGACACTACAAAAAAGAAAATTATAGGCCAATATCCCTGATAAACATAGATACAAAAGTCCTCTACAAAACACTGGCAAACAGAATTCAGCAATATATTAAAAAGATCACACACCATAATCAAGTGAGATTTATTTCCCCTAGTAATCTTTAGGATGCAAGGTTGGTTCAATATCTGCAAATCAATTAACATGATATACCACATAAAGTGAAGGATAAAAAACATATGATCATATCAACACATGCAGAAAAAGCATCTGACAACATCTAACATCCATTTATGATAATTAAAAAAAAATAGAAGAAAAAGAAAACCTCTCAGCAAAGTGGAGATAGAGGGAACATACCTCAACATAATAAAAGCCATATATGACAAAGCCACAGCTAACATCATGATCGATGGTAAAAAGCCGAAAGCTTTTTCTTTAAGATCAGGAACAAGACAGGATGTCCACTTTCACCACTTTTATTCAACATAGTATTGGAAGTCCTAGCTACAGCAATCAGACAAGAAATAAAGGCATCCAAATTGGAAAGAAAGAAGTAAAACTCATTATTTGCAGATGGCATGATACTATATATAAAAAATCCTAAAAATTCCATCAAAAAATTATTAGGACTAATAAATGACTTCAGTAAAGTAGCAAGATACAAACTTAATATTCAGAAATCAGTTGCATTTTTATACACCAATAATAAACCAGCAAAAAGAGAAGAAAACAATCCCATTTACAATTGCATCAAAAAAATAAAATACCTAGGAATAAATTTAACCGAGGAGGTAAAAGACCTGTACTCAGAAAACTCTAAGGCACTGGAGAAAGAAACTGAAAAAGATACAAATGGAAGGATATACCGTGCTCATGGATAGGAAGAATTAACATCATTAAAATGTCCCTATTTCCAAAAGAAATTTATATAGTCAGTACAATCCCAAAATACCAATTTTTCACAGAACTAGAACAAATATTAAAAATTATATGATCTTAAATAGCCAAAGCAATATTGAAAAAGAACAAAGTTGGTGGTATCACACTATCTGCTAACAAATTATACTATAAGGTCATAGTAATCAAAATAGCGTAGTATTGGCACAAAAACAGACAAGTAGATCAATGGAAGAGAACAGAGAGCTCAGAAATAAAGCCATGCTTATATGGTCAATGAATGACAAAGGAGACAAGAATATACAATGGGGTACGGACAGTTTCTTCAATAAATTGTGTTGGAGAAACTGGACAGATTATTGCCAAAAAATGAAATTAGACCACTTTCTTACACCATATACAAAAATAAACTTAAAATGTTTACAGGCTTAAATATAAGACCTGAAACAATAAAACTCCTAACATAGGTAATAAACTCCTTCGACACTGGTCTTAACAATAATTTTTTGGATATGTCTCCTAGGGCAAAGAAAACAAAAACAAACAAATGGGATTACATCAAACTAAAAAGCTTTTGCACCACAAGGTAACCACCAACAAAAGAAAGAGGCAACCTACTGAATGTAAGAAGGTATTTGCAAATGATACATCCAATAAGGGGTTAATATCCAAAATAAAGTCATACAACTCAACATCAAAAAATAATCCAATTAAAAAATGGGCAGAGGACCTGAATAGATATTTCTCCAAAGAGGAGAGATAGCCAATAGACTGATGAAAAGATGAATATCACTAATGATCAGGGAAATGTAAATCAAAACCATAATAAGATAATCACCTCACACCTGTCAGAATGGCTTATCAAAAAGATAACAAGCAAGTGTTGGCAAGGATGTGGATGTGGAGAAAAGGGAACCCTCGTGCATTGTTGGCAGGACTGTAAATTGGTGCAGCCACTATGGAAAGCATTATGGAAGGTCGTGAAAAAATTAAAAATAGACATACCATATGACCCAACAATTCCAAATCCACTTTTGGGTGTTTATCCAAAGGGAAAAAAAAAATACTAATTCAAAAAGATATATATACCTCTTTGTTAATTACAGCATTATTTACAATAGACAAGATATGGAAGCAACCTAGATTTCCATCAATGGATAAAGAAGATGTGGTACATATATACAGCCATAAAAAGAATGAAATCTTGTCATTTGCAACAACATGGATGAACCTAGAGGTTACGATGCTAAGTGAGTAAGTCAGACAAATACCATATGATTTGAATTGCATGTGAAATCTAAAAAGCAAAATAAATGAACAAAACAGAAAAAAAATTGTATACAGACAACAAATTAATGGTTGCCAGATGGGAGGTGGACAGAGAGATGGGCAGAAAAGGTGAAAGGAATTAATAAGTACAAACTGTGAGTTATAAAAATAGTCACAGGATGAAAAGTACAGCATAGGGAACATAGCAATATTCCAATAACTACGTATGGTGCCAGAAGGGTACTAGACTCATGGGCGTAATCACTTTGTAAAGTTATATAAATGTCTAATCACTATGTTGAATACCTGAAACTGGTATAATGATGTATGAGAACTGTAATTGAAAAATAAATTATTTTAAAAAGTTTTATTTTTAAGAGACTGGTCATTTGCCAGAAAGAGTCCCAGATCTACTCAACCATATCATGACTTTTAACAAAATTCCCAGGTGATTCATTTATAGTCAAAATTTGAGAAACACTGTGTTAGAAATCTCTAATTTGTAGACAGTGTTTCCTTATATTGACCAAGAAAACTGCCTTCACGAAATGTCCACCCTCAGGTTTTTGCTCCAGGTAACACAGTACAAAATCGAATTCCCCTTTCCATGTAACAGCCTTTCCAAGTGTTTGAGCAGCTACTTAATTCTCCCCAACCATCTTTTCCTTTCTTCCACACATCCCATTTTCTCGAGGCTAAATACACAGAACTCTTTCAAGTACTTCTATGAGAGACAGGGCCCCAAATTGATGTTCCTGACTCTTGCAAAGCACGTGTCAACGTCAGTGGGTCAATGAGCAGGCTGCTTTCTGGGCCTTTAATATATTAACAGTTCCTGGACTCTGGGCTTCTCAAACCGACTCCCCAGGCCCACCTTCCTGCTAGGCTATTTTACTCTCACCCACAAGTCAGCTCTTGTCACTCCCCATCCCCCATCTTCTGGTCTCCATTTCCGCCACCCAGCCCAGTTCTCCCTTTCCCCGGGCTGACACCTGACTCAGAAGACGTGGTCGAGACACGATGCCCCGCAGATCGACGTAGACGGGGGAAGAGAGACCGTTCTTCAGCACGAAGTTCCCAAACTTGAAAGCCTGCACGTCGTACAGACTCGTTACCAACGACCCCAAATCCTCATCGGCGACTGCCATGGCCAAGCGCTCCACGTTAGCCCCAAACGCCACAGCGCGCCAGGCCCTCGGCGCCCTGATGACGCCATCCGATAAGCCCGCCTCTTCCGCCCCTATTTCCGGCCGCCGGGCGGGGCTGCTGCGCGCGGTTCTGAGGCCCGAGCAGCGGAGTTCCGGTGGCTGTGGCGAATAATGCGCCGAGGTTTGTACGTCACCTGGCCGCCTCTGGATGGGATCGCTGGAGTTTAAATCCCCGAATAGTTAGGTAGGCTCCAAGATCATGGAGTCAGGCGTTTCAAGAGAGATTGTATAAATTCTGCCCACTTTTTATAGCTCCATGCCCTCTTAATATCTATACTCCTTGGTTGAGCATGTCGTTATTTCCTGTTAAAAGCCTTCTCCCCCCGCCCGCCCCCCCCGCGTTTCTACAAATACAGTGTAAGTTCTCGAAGACAGGGACCTTTTCTCAATTCTTTTATTCATGGCATCTGTCACATGACAGTGTCATAGTTTGTACATGAGACTATAAAGCGCTTAGCATGTTCATTACATCTTCTGTCGGTTCTGTGTAACCTAGGGGGGGACGTATGTTTAGTCTCCTTAGAGTAGCTCAAGCGCTTGGCACATAGTAAATACAACATGTGAGGAAGAGAGTAGAGGATGAATTGATCCGTATCAGGATTATCCAGAATGGTAACTTTACCAGCCAATCTGAAAATGCAAGTGTATTTGTTCTTTACAAATAAATCCCTTGACGTGGGGGAAATTTTTATGTGTAGAAGGCAATACTTTAAGGAAAATAACCCTTAAAACCATAAGACTAATGGTTGTTACTCATCAAACTGATTCTGGTTTCACTTTAATATTTTTTATCTATGTATTTTCTCTGAAGAGATTGTGCTGACCAGCTAGTGTGAAGAGCCCGTACCTTGACAGTTGTTTCTCATTTCAAATAAATGCAAATCTTTATGAAATAGAGGCCAAATGTTAAAACATTATGTTATTTGCAAAATGAGCTAAAAAAAAAAAAAAAAAACCCAAAACTTCCATCTCTAACACTCTAGCTAACTGACAGCGTACTATGAATCAGTCTTTTTTGTATTTGGATGGCACACGCAGACTCTTTTAAAGCCGGATCAGGTCTGCAAAGGTTAATCCAGATTCCTCAAGTAGGCACTATCATACATAAACTAGTGAGATCCAGCCCCAAAGGCCTGCCAATTTGCTAAAAAAAAGTTGCCACTTGAAACACCAGAATGAAGTTAATGCACACCTGAGGCTTACTTGATGATTTTGGATGGAGAAATGCCTTAGAATACTTCAGGCTGCAAAACTGTTGCTTTCTTTCCAAAATGCTAGATTAAAAGTGTCGTAAAAATAATGTGACATTTTTACCTTGTCAAGGCTTTTATATGTTTTAGAAAAAAAATATTTTTTTTAAACAAAGTTTTGAATTAGAATGAAAACGAAAGACCACCGGAAATAATATCTTTAGTATATTATATTTATAGTAATGCATAACTTGTGAGATGTACATTTTGAAGTTTCATCCATAACATAACATTTACTGTAGTAATAACAAGACAGCAGGTCATCACTTTACAACATTACACGTGAGTGAATTTGACTTACAAATGAAATATTTACAACCTACCTTTATAAAACGACATTGTATGCATACAAAATGAACAACTGCAGAAAAATTTCAAAGTAATAAGACAACCAAAATCCAGAAGATACACTTAAGGCAGACCAGCAAGACACTGAAATAATTAAGGCTGTGGAATTCTTCTGCACCTTGAAAATATAGAGCTATTTATCAATACTGTGGAGTGATTGTAAATCAATTGCTATAAGCCTGATGGAAGTATGTACTTATATGTATATGTGTAATGGTCCCTATGGGGAAACCTGTCCACTTATGGATAAGGCCCTTTATCTGAATGGCAAGAGAAGCCCACCCCAAACTCTCAAAAGACTTGGTGGGGAGGGGTCACTCAAATCCAAAAGGTGCCAATGGAGTTTGCAAACCAACTTTTAATAATTCAAATATAAAGATGCTCTGACTCCAGATAAACAGAATAATAATCTAAATGATATTTCAGCATCATTATGTTTCAGGCTTTGTTCATTTGGTTTTGTGGACTTCAAAAGATAGCAAATAATTCCTAAATGAGTAGAATCTAACTCTACCCATCAGCCCTAATGGTTTTGAATGGCCCTGAATGGTTTTTCAATAGAAAAATTGACCCACCTGGGCTGTATTCAAATGGATAGATTTCTGCATATGAGCAATAACATATACATACATATTATACACTATATACATGTACAGATGTACATATATCCATATTTTCCAACAGTTTGCACTTTGATCACTACTATTCTCTGACTAGGATGTCATTCTGAAGAGTATGTTTAATATTTTCACAGTCTTCACATTTGTCCTAACTGCTAGTTTTACTCACTTTCCCCACAGAGTAGGCCAAAGTTTGGCAGAAACAGAAGTAAAAGCACCAGGGTCAAAAAAAAAAAAAAAATCGAACACAGATGACAGATATGGCTTAAGTTAGTGTTAATATGTTTGTTAACTTCAAATTCATAATGGCAGTCTTTGAGATTATGTAGTCCAGGATGTGGATTCAATTCTTGATAGAAGTCAGGCATTGATGGAACTCTTATGCTAAATATTCGTAGGCTTGCTAATTAGCTTGCTTAATTTAAGCACCAGGAGTTGGGACTTCAAGAATTTTATTTGCACATTTTTCTACCACCCTCCCTTCTCTGAGCTATACTCACTATTCAGAACAACAATATCTGAATAAACAGTTAACCTTGATCATTTGAATAAAAACTAAATCTGACCACAGTTTAGAAGCTCCCAATGAATAGGCTGACAGGAAAACAAAATAGCCTATGAGGATTAATTTCAGGTTTTCTATAAATGTTCCTTAAAGATGAACATTTGTCTTAGAGTATTTGCTGTTTCCTCTCTTCTAACTTCTACATATATTAAAAATGAGAAATGCTTTTCCTAGAAAATATGGCCTATGATATTTCTGTGTTCTACTATTTCTATATAGATTTCTCCCATGTAATAATTTCTCAAAGTCTAGTGCCATGGACAAATTTCAGCCCTTTTTAGCCCTCTAGAATTATTGAAATAACAAGAGCCTTATAGTTTTTAGAAAATGAATATTAACATAGTAGCCTCCCTTTCCTTAGTGGAGTATGTGTAACCTTATCTTTCCTAACTTTGCTTTGGGTTTAATCATTCATTCCCAAATGATCCCTAGATTTTAAATCATTAAGAAAAACCATAATACAAATAAATCCACTGAAAGCTCACATACTGTGTTTGCCTAACCCAGACTCCAACGAGATGTTACACAGGAGAAAAGGGAATAGGTCAACATTTCTTAAAACTGAGCAAAAAAGCAGTGTTTGCACTTTTGCCTTACTACAGAGACCCCTTATCTGTGAAATATTCTCTCCTCTATCAAATTCATAGAACAAAGTTTTAGTTAATACACAGAAATAACCACCATTTATTTTTATAACACATTTGCTCCCTCATATTCTCACAAATCTAAATTTCCACATAGACAAGAAAAAAGTAATGACTAACTCATAAGCACTAAATTATATGGACTATCAGAAAGCAAATACCTATTCCTGTAACACCTAATAATCTAAAAAAAGATCCAAGGTTTCCCCTCCAAAAATCAACAGTTCTACTAATTTCTACACCTGTGCCTTTAATTTGCCTCTTATCAGAGACGCCTGTGAGACTGAACAAATGAGTTGTGATATCAGAAAATATTTTATTCTCGCTTCTGCCCTCCCAACGAGGAAAGTGACTGTTTGGGTTTTCCTCTATCAATTTTTCCAGAGCAGAAGGCTTCAGAAGAGAGAGTAGCGGTTGCTTAGGAAAGAAAGGCATCTTACTCTTTGTGTCTGCCACAAGAAATACTGGAGAAAACAGTTTATTGACATATGACTTCAATCAGCTCTCCTAACCTTTTTCTGTGGACAAGCTTTTAAATGATCAAAATTACAGGCTAAGACCAAATAACATTTAGACAAAGAGCACCTAGTACTTCCAATTAAAATCAATTTACAGAATTTATTCTCATGAGTTGCAAATGGTGTCTAAAGACATGAATATTGAAAACCTGGAATGTTCAAAGTTACTATCAGTAAAACTCTTAGCACTGGCAGTGTGTAGCACTTTAAAAAAAATCAAAGTATTTTCTAGACATCCGAACTAAAGTATTCTTCCAACATTCTTATGAAGTTAATGTCCTCTCTCCTTCCCCCCAACTCCCATTTTAACAATGGGGACATTTGGGACAGAAAAAAAACAAAGACTTTCTGTAAGAAAGGACAAATCAGGAATAGCTGAGGTTGAAACTCAAGAATTCCTAGGCTTACTCTATATTCAGATGTTTTTATTTAAAAGATATTCTAAAACAAAGAAAATATTCTGCAATATCAGTCTACATACAATGAACTTCTTTATCTCCCATCTTCCCCTCTGAAAGGCACTACTATTATAAAGGCTTTGTGGACCACAAAGCAGTGAAGCCAGCTTTTCCTCTGCTTCTTCTACTCCCCCAAGAGTGTTTATGCCTGTGAGAGACCCGAAGGACACCCTCAACGTTACAATTTTTTTTCTTAAAAATGTTCCCACATTCAGCCATAAGTGGATATAAATCTATTTAAATTGAAACAAGTGTAAAAGATGCAGTAAATCATCATACCCTTCGAAAATTATTATGAGCTGTCCCTGATCTTTCCCTTCTCTCTCCATCCCACCTTTACAAAACAAAACAACAACAAAAAACTCCCAAACCTTATGCAGGGACTATAAGCCAAGCAAGAAACTTGTGACTTTAGCTGACATCTATTTTTCCCATTTCAACTGGAAGTTCACTCTCACCAATTCCTAGGTAAGTTTTCATTTCAAAGACCACCATAATTATAGAAGTGGAGTATTTTCTCTTCTCTCCCCTATTCTCTACCACAAAAGAATAAATATCTCTTCCAAAGCAAGTACAAGAAAGTGATCCCTGTTTCTTCATCACTCCCCACAGTTG